CTTGGTAATGACGAAAGTTTTAAAGGTGATGTTAAGTGAGTATGTTCTCCATTCTTAGTGAAATGATGCCCAGGGAGCGGTCCGGTCCGCAAGCCCAAATTGGCCCCAGGCAAGCAGTACTGAGAGGCCAGGGGCAATTAACAGGTATAGCAGTTGCTTTTATTGAGCTGTGTGCTTGGCACTAGCAATATCTCACTGGATCCTTGAAAAATACCTGCGGATACTACTATGGCTATTATCTCTATTACATACATGAGAAAAACCAAGGCTTAGCTAAGTCATTAATTTCCAGAGTCCCATGACTATAGCCCATCACTTCTCTGTCTTCTTGCTGAGATGAAGTGAAGCCCTGTAGTAACGGGTCCATCTCTTCACAACACCATAGCCCCTTTTCTAGCTTGTGGTGACCACCTCAGTTTGTGCCCTCACAAAAGACACCAGAGAAACTTCACTCGTTCAGCCTAGTACTTTCTAACCTGTTTCACACCTTGATACACAAAAAGGAACATTCTGTGGAGTGTGCCCTGGGATAATGATTGGGGTTGATTCAGGTGGAGATGACAAGCCTAGAATACTCCAGCTGGAAAACTCAGGTGAGCTATTTATAATCCAAAGTCACACCATTTTCCCAAATCCTTTGGATCTCTAGGACTTCCAAGAAAGGATTCTAAAAAATTTAAAAACATAACATAATGGAGATGGGTTATGTCTCTGATCCCCTGTGGAAGAGTAGGCTTCAGCCTCCAGAAAAGGCCCACGTAGGTTGTGTATGGGCTTTTTTGTTTTGTTTGTTTTTGTTTCTGCTTTTGTTTTTGGCAGTACTGGGGATTAAACCCAGGGAATGCTGAGCTACATCTCAGATCTCTTTATGTGGAGACTGGATCTCGCTATGTTCCCCAGACTGGACTCCAACTTGCAGTCCTCCTGCTTCAGCCTCTCAAGTAGCTGGGATTACAGGTGTGCACTACCACATCGTGCCCACACGTGTTGAGATGTGACCTCGGACAAAGATGTGGCCTTGCCTCTCTTGGCTGTTACTCCGTGCAGAAAGGGGGAGAACAACACCCACAGGATCCTAGAGCGAGGGTGGGGTGTATACCGGGTTTGCTCTCTTGGTGTGGATGCCAAACTGCGAAGGGAAAAAGATGAGGCTCAACTAATGCTTGAGGTAATGTGAGAGGATGAGAATGGCTTCTTATGTTTGCAGGAGCTTTCGTTTGCTTGTAAAGGCTGTGTTTTGTTTTTGTTTTAATTGTTTGTTTTGCGTTTTCTCTGTGTTTGTCTCCCTGTTCTCTTTTAAGCTGAGGTTCTGACCCATACTAACTTCTGACATTGCTGAGTGTGCAAGGGAACAAACAGGGGACTGGACCACAGAGAGCCTAAAGCCAGCACTGTGGCAAAGATAAAGAAAAAGAATGATAATGTGCATGACCTCCAGGCCTAGACTAGGCTTGAGGCTGGTTTGGAAAATTGGCCCCTCGGACAATTCCTCCTACCTATTCAACCAGAGAATTTTAAAGATTCATATAAATAGAAAAGTGACAATGTCAGGGGAACTTGTTTTCAAAGCGATTCATCATTTCTCTGTCAGACTTGGCTATTTCAGTGTTATAGAGGACTGCGGAGGTAGGTATGTGCATGCAGGCTAATGTCTATCAATAGAAACAGCCTGCAGGGAAATTTTTTTCTTATTTTAAGCACAAAGAGACATCTAGAGTCCTATGGGTAATCATAGCTGCCTGAGACAGACTCTTTCCACATATTTCCAGAAACTACAGATTAACAAGAGCAAATTAAACCACAGAACCCAGACCAGATGGGGTGATAGATACAATTCTAGACAACTAAAAACCGCTCAAAGTTTATTGAATGAGTATATGAATGAATGGTACAGCCACACAGGAGATGACACTACTAAGAATAACTTACTCGATAGATGACCTATATGCCAAACAATTCTGACTTGCGGGCTTTATGGGCCAAAATTAACAAAACAAAATATAACCGGGATCCAAATTAAAGCCCTAAATTTAAGGTCAGATCATATAACGTGGCAACAGAAGTGGGGGAAACAAGACTAAACCATATGGTAAGACAACAGTTTTCAAAGATTTGAGTCTTAGGTTCTTTTACATCTCTTTCTGTTGTTGTTTTTCTTGATTTGTTTTGCTTTGTTTTGTTTTCTGAGACAGGGACTCACTATGTAGCCCAGGCTGGCCATGAATTTATACTCTTTCCGCCTCCGCCTCTCTAGTCACTGGGGGAAAAGGTCAATTCTTGTCTTTGGTAACAGGTTCTGGCAGTTGTTTTATTTAGAATGACAGGCTTATCTCATTTTTGAGCAGATGTCTGCCACATAACTAGGTCTGAATAACCAGGCTGTCAATCACGGTTCAACAAAAACAGTGCTCCAAGAGCAAAGAGCTAATTTAGCTAAGGGCTCAAATAGTCGTTTATGCGAGCCAGTGCCTTTCCTCTAGATGACTCTCACATTTATGCAGCATCAGTGCTTCCTGCTAACAAGGCTCCTCCCTCATATAGAGCTGACCAAATTTCTTTAGGTTGTAAAAGGTGTTTGTTTTGCTTGCTTTGGGTATTTGTGCCAATCCTCAACCCCTAGGGTGACCAGCCTGAGACCAACTAGAGACCAAGTGGACAGGGGAATGGGTTTGTTTCAGGAGGCTGGAAGTCTGAGTTTCAGCTCTTTGTAACCTTTGCTTCTGGACAAATCCTCTCTGCATCAAGAGATCTGTGAGTGGCACCTCCCTTGGGGAGGTCTGTGAGTGGCACCAGGGCCTGCACGATGGCAGGGGCAGTGGGTGCTCCCTTCTCTAATGTGATAAGAAGACACAACCAAGAAATCATTCCTACTTCCCAGCCTCCTTTATCACTAGAAAGCAGTTTAAAAAAAAACAAAAAAACAACTGCAGACAACAGAAGAGAGACATCACTTCAACTGTTTTTAGTCTTGTTCAGCAAATGCTTGAGCTCACCCTCAGGCAGCAGGCACAGTGATGGATGCAGGGCTCCTGACCTCCAGGGGCTCAGTCTTCTGGGGGAGACCATTATCTAAAGACACGGATGTTGCTGGGGAAGATCCGGATTCCTCAGCAGGTCCTGCAAGGATCTGCAGGATCTGGTCCTCGTGGCCTGCTCCAGGCTCTGTCCCTATTTCTGCTCCCACCGCAGTGACTCAGCCACACAGAGGGGCATGCAGCATGCGGGTCCCTGAACGAGCACTCCTCTGCCCGGAGCCGGACCCAAGCTGGCCAAGACCACCTGCAGCCACTCGGCTGGCAGAGAAGGGGAAGCCTGGAGCTGCGCTGAGTTCTTCATGAATTGAGAATGTTGTGTGACTACACTGAGAAATAGGAAGAAAAGGGCTAGAGGTGTAGCGAAAGTGGGAGGGGTAGGGGAAAGGGAATAAGGGAAAAGGAAAAAATATGAGAAAATGAAAAAATGCAAATAAAGTGTTTGTAAATGGGGAGGGGAGGAGGGGGTGAAGGAAGGGCAGGGACAAGGGGAAAAAATGAGAACCAAGACCTGTCATGTAAAGGTACAAGATCCCAATGATGAATGTAACTGTATTGTATACCTAAAATGTACCAATAAACTCAATTTAAAAAAAGAGAGAATGTTGCGTGACTTAAAGGTAACTATAGCTTTGGGCTTGATCTCAGACTGGCCAGAAAGTGTTGAGCATTGTCTCATTTTTCATCCAGGAATAGAAAGAACTAAAACCACTATATGTATATATAGAGTGGGGGGAGAAAAAATAAACCTGCATTATAGCTTCCTTGAACCACATTCACTCAGCCTCTTGGGTTTTGTTTTGTTTTGTTTTTTAATCTCCTTTGAACTGTGGTTCTTTCCTGCCCAGAGGAGGGCTGTGTGGAGAGCAGGTGCTCAGTTGAGACAGGTGGTACGCGGGAGGAAATGAGACTGTCAGGCAGGCAGGTTGGTGCTGGCAGCATATTCTGAGACAAGATCAAAGACTCAAAGTTGTCCCAGCAATCAGCTCCCAGATATAGCACGATATCTGAAAGGGGCCTGAGAATCCTTCAAGGGCAGTTGCCCTAATGCACAAACTTCCTAATACAAATGCACCCCAGGGTGCAAGGTGAATGCAAGGGAGAATCAGCCAAGGTGGAGATGTCAGACCCCAGATCCTTTCCTGCCAGCACTGTGCTGGTGGCACAGCGGGCATTGGAGAGAGGACAGGAACCTATGTAAAATACAGGGTCATAAACCAAGGACAAGAGAAGGCAGTAGTCACGGGGCTGACTGAATGTTCCTGTGCACTGTCTTAATCTCACTGTCCCAAGGGACATGCAGCATGTTGTAGTATGAAAGGTGAGGTTGACAGGTTAACAAAATTGCTAGGTTAACACCATTACTAGGTGGCACAGCTGGGATTTAAATCTGAATGTGGCTCCAGAGCCCACTCTTCTCAGGCCACCCTGCCTAACTCTGAGTCAAAAGCCCTCATCTCCTCTTTGCTGGCAGGAAACTGGAAATCTTCAACTCCATGCACTTAAGAGCTGTGGTTGAGAGCGATGTAAGACCTGCACATGCACAGGCTCCATGCAGGGTGGATGGGGAAAGGCTGAGGGCAGAGGGCAGAGGCCACCACCTGCACTTCCAAGGCGCACACTCCATAAGCAGGCTCACTGCCCTCTCTGGCTGGCAGAGGGCAGGCAAAACAGTTAACCAACCCAAGCCATTGTGGGTTCCCTCACTGACCAGCCTTGCACCAGAGCTGGGCACTCCCCGTCTGATACCTGGATGGGTCAGTACCTGGATCACATACCTACCAGTGACATGAAGCCATGGAGCCACTGCAGGGCTGGTCAAGAGCAAGGGACATCAACTCTCTCCAAAGCCCTGGTCACCTTCACTCTCTCTCTCTTCCTGGTGAAAGGCCTGAGGTAGGACCATCCACTCCCGTGAAAAGGATGCAACTCTGCCAACTGGCTGAGAGTCCCCATGGGGGGGTCGGGTCATCTCCTCTGAGGACCTCCCTGATTCCCCTCTGTGCTTCAGGGACAGCTCTGAAGCATGATCCCTCCGCGCAGCTCTGTCTGACTTACCTAAGTCCTCAGCACTCAGTAGGGGGACAATCCACGTTTGGGGACTATCCATTGAGAAAAGACAAGAACTTTCACAAATCAATACATTTACTTCACTTATTTGTTAATCGGTGGTACACATATGGATGACACTGTAAGTTACATGAATGCAAGGACACCCACACACGCTAACACATCCCACCGGCTGCACGCCCCCGGGGAACACTTGGGTCCCTGTGAGGACTTTCTGCATCTTCTGGCTGCTCTGCCAGCTCTCACCACTCTCCCTGAACCTATCCACTCCCCACCGCCCGCCACTGTCCATCCTGCCATGATGGTAGCAAAGCAGGGAAGGGCCTACAAAGACAGGTCACAGGTTCCCAGAAGCCTGGACATGCCAGGGTCTGTCACCACTGCTCGGGTATTCTTCCTAGTTTCACCTAATGTGCATATCACTGCCTCAAAGACCCTGGCAATTCCTTGAAGGCAAGGACCAGGGCTTCTACTTCTTGAGCATAGAGGGACAGGGTTCAGCAAAGCAGTGCCTTGGCGGACTGCTGGGCATGGCCCAGCTGCGAGGGATCTGGGGTTCCAAGCTGGGACAGGAGGAGCTCACAAACACATCACAGAGACCGACATTATGTGCACGACATTATAGAGGCACAGAGTACTGTGGGAGCAGGAGGGGCCGCGCTGGGCGGTGTCCTCAGGGGGATGCTGGCTGGCACGTCCCATACCCTGTATTAGGCACTTCAACTTCATTTTATCTCCTCCTCACCAAGGAGGACACTGAGCTCAAAGACAATGCTCTAGAAAAGTCATAAAATGGGATTCAAATCCAGAGCTGTCCGGATTTAAAGCCCACTCTTTTCCCTCTGTACAGGGGGCCACCTATAGGGACCTCTTCTTTGGGGCTCAGAGACTGGTAAAGAGACCTCCAGAATAAATGGATCAGTTTCAGAGCAATGTAAAACACCAAAAACACAAAAATGAAAAACACAGAGAAAAAACAAAAAAACACCACATTGTCCCCAACTTGCGCATCATTTCTGGCAGGCAAAGCAAACATAAAGCATGCTGGAAACATGACTGCAGCAACAAGAGCGTCTGAACAAATATCAGCTCCTTCCTAAATTTTCTTGATCTCTCTGCCAACAAGGCCAGCGAATATTCCAAAGCTGCTGTTGCCGCCGCCGCTGCCACCGCCGCTGCTGCTGCTACTTAGTTCCAGAAGAGAAGAAGCCCCAGATGTCTCTATAACGACTCTCCTTCAGGCTCTGGGGGCTCAGTTTTGTTTTTTATACTGAAAGACAGAGAGATGAGAAGCGGGTGAGGGAAGCCAGTGGGAAGGGCGCCTTCATCCGGAATCCAGTCTCCTGGGCCTCCGCCTCCTGTCGGATCTTCTCAGGGGCGGTGACACAGACAGGTGTCACTCAGATCTCTCTAGGTGCTTCCTGGACCCTCTTTCTTTCTTAGTGGAGGAGGACAGAGGAGGCTTGAGGTGGGAGGATAATAAAGAAACTGGCAATATTAGAATTAAACATTGTGATCATCTGTACTACTCTCTAGCTGGGGGTTCTTCTCTGGTTTCTGGCGGGGGGATCTCAGGCAGAGGAGGACCCTTAGAAGTCAGAGAAGAGCCAGGTGTGGTGGTTCACCCCTGTAATCCCAGCACTGGGAAGGCTGAGGCAGGAGGATCACTGTGAGTTCGAGACCAGCCTGGGCTACATAGTGAGTTCCAGGTCAGTCTCCACTACATAGTGAGACCCTGTCTCAAAAAACCAAAAATAAAAAAATAAAAAGATAAGTCAGAGAAGAATCCTCAGCCAACTGCTGAGGTAATAAAAAAAACCCACATCTGGAGATTCGGACTTTCTCTAGGTCACTCAATACCAACCTCATCCCTAGCTCACTCCCTTGCGCCACCCAAACAACCCCTTGAATGTTTCCAGACAGCTCAGCCGCCATGAGAACCCCCAAGAGACAGGGAGCTCTCTCCCTCAAGAAGTCCCCCTCTTGGAAGCATCACGATGCTGCCACCAGCGCTGGCACTTGCCTTCCACGTGCCCATCTCAGCTTACTGAGCACTGTCAGGCAGAAATCTGTTCTTAAGAGTGTCCGGTAGCCCCATCCTGCAAGTAGAAAGGACCACCCTGGGCTTTGTAAGACGGGAGTGGGGAGAGGGCGGAGAAGACCTGCCTCATACCATCCCTTCTCAAGTGTGGGGCAGGGGTGACCCCTAGTGGCTGTAGAGTACATCCATACACACACACACACACACACACACACACACACACACACACACGCACGCACGCACGCACACCCCAGGGTGGAGGCACTTACTTTGTTCAGGATCCAGTCGGCATCCTCAATGGCTCTTTTAATAATCTGCTGGATTCTCTCAGGGTTGTCTTCATCTGAATGAACCCGGAAACTCTGTAAAAGACAAAGGTGACTGGGCAAAATCCAAAGAGCTGGCAGCTTTGATGCACCAGTCGTAGGCCAGACACAGTGCTGGGCACTTTCTACTCAGCTCCTCTTCATCCTCCAAGGCTAGAATGATCCCATTTAAGGGTGAAGAAACAGAGACTTAAAAATCCTAACTTTCTGCTAAGTAACAGCATCTGAAGCCTAGTCAGTCTGACCACATAGCTGGCAATCCTACCAGCAGGGCAGATGAAAAGGAGGACGGGACCCAGGCAAGTTATCAGGGCCCGAGGGAAATTTCCATCTCGCCCTTTAATTTGCTCCTCATGGGAAGCTGCTTTCATTGTAGTGAGATCTCTGCATGGGCTTCACCACACGAGGGACAGGATTTCTCCCACCCCAGAGCTACAGAGCAGGGGAGGGAGGGGAGGCCATGGCTTTGGGAAATCCTCCAGGCCCAATGTAAGGCACAGACAGCTGCTGGCAGCCTGAGGTTTAGGCTCATCGGTGGGGAGCTCAGGGACCTTCAGAAAGAGCTGACACCTCTCTGCTCTGTCACTCTCGACCCCACAGGTCCCCTGCTCGTCTTCAGAAGCCACCTCAAACGCCTGCACTGAGGAAGCCCTCCTGACCTCCCCAAACGGCTAACATTCCCACAGCTTTCTGTTGCTCTTTTTCTTGTACTTTCTATATTTTTGTTGTTGTTTTGCTTTTGTTTGGTACCGGGGATCGAACTCAGGACCTTGCACTTGCGAAGCAGGTAGAGCTACATCCCCGGCCCTTACTTTCTGCATTTTATTTGTACGAGTTTAGTTATTAACTTTTATATTTGGAAATGAATGTTCACAGAAAATTTACAAACGTACAAAGACCTCCCTACCGGCATCACCAATTTGAATGTTTTGCCACATTCGCTTTATCGTTCTTTGGATGTGTACCTAGCAGCTTTTTAGAAGCATTTCAGAGTAGGTGGCAGTTATCCTGCCCTTAACCCCTACACACTTAAACATGTGTTTCTAAACAATGAGGGCATTCTCTTATAGAACCACAATAACCAAATTCAGAAAATTTAACATTGATACAATACCTATCTCATCTACAGCCCATGTTCCAGCTTCATGCACTGCCCCAAAAAAGTGACCTTTCGAGCAATTATATTTTTCTGGCCGCGATCCAAGTTGAGATGATGCATTACATGTAGTTGTCACATCTCTTTAGTCCCCTTAATCCAGAGCATCTTTGCCTTCCTTTGTGTCTCGTGAAGCTGACAGTTATGACGGGTACAGGCCAGGACCTTCTCTGGTGGACGGTCCCAGTTTTCAATCCTCATGTTTTATCACAATTAAATTCAGGCTGTGCACGGTTGGCAAAATGATGTGTGTCCTGTCATCTATTTTAATTATCACCAAGCTGCCCTGTTTGTGCCCCTGTGCTGAATGATACTCCCAGATAGAAGCCAGAGAGAGGAGCCGGTGCTCGCCTCGGCAGCACATGTACCAAAATTGGAACGACACACAGAGAGAGGAGCTGGGTGCCCCAGCATCGCCCTCTGGTGCCTCCTGCCAAACTGCCACCCCCTCCTACCCTTCACCCTAGTCCCTGAGCGCTCCCCACTCGGATCCCATTAAAGGAGGCCTCACCCCAGAGCCCGTGTGCCCTGCTCCCACCTGCCTGACAACATGTCTGTAGTGCTCCTGGATGCCCTTGGTCGGCAGCTGCCGGCAGCAGCGCAGCAAGTATCTGTAGAGCTGCAGCGGCCTCTGGACCAGCTCTGCCCCTGGCAATGGGGCCATCAGCGAGACTTCTGTCCTGGAAAACAGCATCACGTCTAAGGCATCGAGCCGAGTTCTACACTCAGTCCTGGCCTCCAGTTCCCAGCCCTCTTCGAACAGGATGGCTCTCGTGCAGCTCCTCCTCGTGGCCACCACCCCTGGAGTCCACACCCTGGGTTAGGGCTGCACATTCTGCCCTGGCAATGCGCTCAGCCCAGAGCAGATGCACAAAGACCAAGAGCGAGTGTGGAGGGAGGTGCACAACATCAGCACCACCCAGGAGCCTCTCAGAAACGCAGTCTCAGGTCCCAAGCAAACCTCCTAGACTGAAGTGTGTGTTAACCACATGTCCGGCAGGTGTGTATGCGTGTTAAACTTTGAGAAACATGATTCTTGGGGCTCTGCATGAACAGGCAGGTAACACATGGAGTCACCATGATGAGGTCCTAGCCTGTGTACATGATTCCATTTTATTGAGTTATTAACAATGAGCACTTACTTGGTATATCCACTTTCCATGTAGTTATTGCATACATAAGAAAACTAAAAACAGAGAGATTTAGAAACTTACCTAAGACCATATAGCTGATAAAGGTAAAGCTGAGATTTGAACCCTGGCAGTCTAGCTCCAATGCCCACTTGAAACAAAATCAGCTTTCCTGAGGTGTTAACATACAACCAACGAAGGGCCAGGGATTTAGCTCGTTGGCACTGTGACTACCTGGCAAGCACAAGGTCCTAAATTTGATCCCCGGTACCAAAAAAAAAAAATAAAACAAAAAATACAACCAATGACCCCAACGACCACTGGGTAAGTTCTGACATATGTACACACAGAGAAGCCAACACCGTCATCAGGGGTCACAGCCCAAGCTCTCTCCCACCTCTTTACAAAGCTTTCTGCCCTCCCTACTACCCAAGAACCCCCAATCTGCTTTCTGTCACTACAAGTTTGTCTGCATCTTCTAGATTTTTACACAAATGGAAGACTATACCAGGCTCTCTATTCTACCCTTGCAGCTCTTTTTTTTTTCCTTTTTTGAAATTTAAATTTAATACACAACACACAAGTATTATCACCAAGTAGAGTATCACATGACACTCCAAAGCATGTGTACACGTGTAATGTTTCAATAGGGTTAAATACACTATCCTTAAACATCTCATTTCTTTGTAGTGCAGACATCCAAAATCCTTTCTTTTAAAGCCCTTATTTGTAACTTCTGTAGTATACATGCCCTGTCCAAAGAACTCACTCTAGTTTGAACATTGTTTTTGAAGCAAATTATGAAGGATAGATGTTTTCAAATGATAGGTTCTAGGTTATGAGGACTTGTTGAACTTTCATTCAGTCCGCCCGCCAGCTCATAACAGTGCCCCCTCCATGCTCACTGCCCCACAGGCTACCATGGGAACCTCTAATGCCTGCCCTGTGTCCCTTCCTCTCACCTGTCATTCCACACTGACACTGAGTGGGCACGGGAACCAGTGTCACAGTACACAGCAGTCAGCCACAGATCCCAGAACTCTCCCAGGTCCCCCAAACCATAAAGGATGTCACCTCTCAGTACCTTTACACATGCAGCTCCCTGAGCATGGAGCTCCTGCCCTATCTCTGTGAGGAACCTTACTCCCCCTCCAGGTCCAGCTCAGTGTTTTTCCTCCAGCAATCTCTTCCTGACTGTCCCTCCCTGGGGACAGCGGGATCACTATCATCTGACTGAAGCACCCTGTTCATGAGCAACACACTTCCAGCCAGAGACTGGGCTGCTACCGTGCTGCTGGTTCTCCTGAGGGCAAGAGCCCAGGCTCCAGCACAGGGCCTGGCCAGCAAGAGGCTTCACACACCTGTTAAAGTGAACAGCACGAATCCACTATCTCCTCTGTGCAGGAGAAAAGAGGGGAAAGAGGCTCCCTACATTCTAGATGAAGGAGCTAAAAGACTGAGATTAAAAGACCAGCAGTTTTCGTTTTGTTTTGTTTTTTGTGTGTTTTTTTGTACTAAAAGACTAGCAGAGGTTTTTGTTTTATTTTATTTTGCTTTATGTTTTTTTGGTGCCAGGGATCAAAATCAGGTCCTTGTGCTTGCAAGGCAGGCAGTGGAAACACTAAGCTAAATCCCCAGCCCAAGACTAGCAGTTTTAAAGCAATATAAAAAAGAGAAAGACAACCCTACTCCACCCCCAGCCCCCGAGAGAGAACCAGATACCAAATCTATCAGATGTTCTGACACTGAGGAAGGAAACATTAAGGGGCTGGGTTCTGAGGCTCCTTTGTTCCCTTTCGAGCATATTATCTTTCTAACAATAAATGTCTGTCTTCACAGCCAAGTTAGCCAATTTCTCCTGGTTCTCTGGGCTTTGGCGCTTACAGCTCAAAGAACACACAAGCAGTCCCCCTGCCTCCCACTCTCCCTTGTGGAAAGAGCCCCTTGGGTGCAACTCAAATTGCACCTCTCCCCATGGCTCAGCTTGTCCGACCAATCACAGTCCTGCATCCATATGAGCCCAGGGATTGGTCCAGAGATATTTACATGCTGGAAGCTCGTCCAATCAGAGTGAATCTCAACACCTCTGCAGGCAGAAGAGGAAAGAACTACAGCTCTTTCTCACTAGACCTTAGGTTGAGAGGACTTAACTTTCTCAGGGAAGCCAACGTGCCCCTCTGGAACCAGGGTCACAGCAGAAGGCAAAGTTGAAACCGGAGAGAAACCAAAATCCCAAGACCTCACTTGAGCCAAAAACATACGCCTGAAGGAAGCCCTAGCTTTACACCTCTCAATGATCTGAGCCACACAACTCCCCTTAGCCAAAGTAGGTTGGGTTTTTGTCTTATCAGAGTCTTAAATGATAGATCCTGACCTCACAATTCTGCTTTCATGTGATGTAAGGAAGCATCTAAACATAAGACTCCTCAACTTCCTCCTGCCATGAAACCATCAACTCGCCAGTCTGACTTGGCATGCTTTAGCCCAAGAGAGGGGAGCCCCATAATGTTGGCCAAGACCCTCAAAGAGTTTACACCCCACAAAGTCTCCAACATGATGGGCTGTCTCCCCTGGCAGGCTTCCCCAAACTATATAAAGTGCTAATCAAATATTGTAAAATGCTAGTCAGATAACAGATGGTTACCATCTGCAGCCTTCAAAATTAACATTTGGAAAGAGCATAACTTTGCTTCATTTACTTTAAAACCCAAGCAATACTTGGTAACCAACCCAGTGAGTATGGGTGGTAGATTATTTTCAACTCAATTATAATACTTAGTCATTCCCAGTAATAACTAGTAGAAAATACAAGTGTGGGTCCACTTTAAAAGGGCTAAACTAAGAATGTTTTAATCTAATTTAAAGTGTGGGTTTGCTATTATTTAAGGGCCAGTGAACTTCACAGTATGATTGCTAAAGCTAGTCAAGCTCTGTGGCCCTGGAAATGCTTGCTTTCCTATTCCTGCTGTGTGGACTTGACTTAGCCACCCACTTGGGCTCCCTGTCTCCGTGATGACACCTCCATCTCCCAGGCAACCAAGCTAGAATCATCAGAGTCAACCCAAGTCCTTCTTCCCCCTCAATTCCCAAGCTACGGTTTTCTAAGTCCTCTCAAATTCTACCTCCAGGTCCCCTCAAATTTGCCCCCCACCTTGATTCAAATTCTTATCCTATCTCAATTCCAATGGTACCTAAGTTGGTTGCCCTGCTTTCCAATCCACTGACTTCCTATCTGTTCTCCACCCAACAGCCAGAGTGACTTTGAAACAAATTTCAGAGTATCCTGTCCCTTCCTAAAACACCTAATACCCACCGTACTTCTCAGTATTCATGGCAACTTTTCCCAAAATGTGGGACAAATACCTGAAATTACTCCAAGCAGTTTATGGACTAACATCCTTTTATTGTAACAACTTTATGTTTATTTCTACACTAGAAGAAAATATTCTAATACTTCATAGGTATTATAACATAAAAGTTTTTTTTAAAGGAGCATATTGATTCTTTAAAACGTACCAAACAAATAACACAGTTGAAATGTGTAAGTGACAGAAATCATGAAAGTGACACTGAAGTTTAGAAAGCTAAAATCCAGATCCTCCTCTATGGCCTCCAGGGCCCTTTGGACCTGGCCTTGCCAAGCCCTCACCTGCACCTCTCAGCACTCAAGCCAAGTCCAGGCAACCTGAGCCACAAGGGGCACATACCTGACAGCCCATGATGTTTCCCTACATGGTCTCAGCACTGTGTCAGACTGCCTGGCATGAAGCAGATGTGTTAGGGTTGTCCAAGAAATAGAACCAAAGAGACAAAGGGAGAGAGGGAAAGAGAGGGGGAGAGAGTCTGTCTATGCATGGGTGTATGATTTATTATAGGAATCTGCTCACATAATCATGGAGGCTGGCAAGTCCAAAATCTGCTGAGCCAATGTCTGGGTTCTAATACAAAGCCTGAAACCACCGTGTCCCAGTTCAAAGGAAGAGAATTCTCTCACTCTGACTCAGGCAAGGCTCGGACTTATCTTTCTAGTCAGGCCTTTAATGGACTGAACGAAGCCCACCCACCTTAAGGAGGGCAATCTGCTTGAGTCAGTCTACCAGATTAAATCCAAAAACACCCTGAATGTTTGACCAAATACCTGGGTACCATACAGCCCAGTCAACCTGACACATAAAATTAAGCCTCCCGGTAGAAACTCAGTATCTACCTATTGAAGGAATTCTCCCATATCTACCTACCTATGGTACCCCCGCTGCTTCCAGCAGATCAGCTCATTCGGCCACACTCAGCCCTGGAGCTGGCGCCTCCTCCTGGAGGCCCTCACTGGCCCAGCACCTCATTGCACCTTCTATGGGAAGCCCATGGAGACCTCAGAACAGCCCTCATCACCTGACATTACCCTAGCCCAGCTTCCTGTACAGGCCCTCACAGATTCCTAAAGGGGATCCACCAGGCCTCACCGCGCTCACATGGTGGTCACTGTGCTTTATCAACTTCCTGACAGAAAATCTTCCCACAACTGGACATTAAATGATACTGTGCATGATTGTTCATCATTAGTTTTCTTGGAAATAAAAATGAAGTTGTGGTACTGTGGAAAATGCCCTGACTCTTCTACACACAAATGGAAGTATTTAAAGGAAATGTATCATTAGGTCTGCAATTAATTTTCAAATAGTCCATCCAGCAAACTAAGAGGGTGGGAAGGAGTGGGGGGGGCAGTAAGAAAGACTAAGGAAAATGAAAAATGTTAGGACTATTTAGGTGTGCAAGGTGAACACTGTTCTGTTATTTTAACTTCCATATACTGTATTTGGAAATTTTTCATAATAAAAAGTTAGTATAGAAACATCCCCAGCAGGATGCCATCCAGCTTTCCTCCCGCAACATACTCCCTTAGCAGCAGGGAACTCACAAGGCACTCCAATTTCCTCTCGCTCAAGCTGTTGGGAAGTCCCTCTGCTTTTGAGCTAAAATCTACCGCTGTAAAATTCTATTCATCGGCCTAAGCTCTGCCCTTGGGACTAAAATCTTCCCTCTCCTGCCCCCAAGTCCAGGTTCTCATCCAAAGTTGACTTTTTCGGCCTCAGTTTTAACGTTAACTAACAAGAAGGTGAGATGACAGCATCTCCCAAAGCATCCCATCCTGCCTGCCTTCCTCTGGACACATTCCTGTTTGGGGTGTCACTGTCACACTGACAGTGGGGGGGGGAACAGCTCCATTGTGCTCTGAACAGTTCCCTAGGCAGTGGCACTGTCACCTCCTTGGGCCTGGTAATTCAAGGAATGCAGCTCGGACTGCATTTTCTGCAGGAGCCCTCACATGGCCTTGGCATCCATTTCAAAGGCACCTTTTATTCCCCATGAACTTTAAGTCCATTCCCCCATCTTGTACTTTATTAGTTCAGCCTTGAGTCAAAATCCATCACTGATGGTGCCCACTCCACTATTCAACTAAACTACATCAGAAACAATCAGACTCCAGTTCAAGAACACAGAAAGAGATGAACCCTGTCGGTCCTTATGCATCACTTGTCCCTGCAACACCATTCAGAGCAGCTGTGCATGCAGCCAGATTCAGCTCCAGGACCAGAGGTGCACACCTGACACACCTGGCTCTCCTACCTGGGTCTTCTGCAAAGCTCATGGAATGTCCTAGTACCTACCATGTGGGGAGGGATTATTAGTACGTGACAAGTCTGAAAGCCTTCTGTGCTATTTCATTTAATTCTCATGTTATTATAGGGTAGACATCACTAGCCTCATTTGACAGATGCAGAATCTGAGGCGCTGAGAAGTTAAGTAACTTACCCGAGGCCACACAGTTCAAAGCTGAGGAATTAAACTCCAAGCTCTTTCTTGCTTCATGATACTATTATAGACAGGTAAGTAGAAATATAGGCAGACAGGGCTAGGCCCTCGAGGGAGTCAGTGTGAGGATAAGAACACATCACAACGGTGGCCCGAGGCACATCTGTTGGAGGCCAGGCTTAAAGATAAAGACAGACTGACCAGACCTACATACCTGCCCAGGTGATTAAGACAACTGGTATCACCTGGTCCAATAAAGTCTAGCTAGACATCAGTTACCCTAGTGCGTGACCAGGACCCCCTAAAACGCCTTTGTTCTTTGCATGTACACTTGCTATGTGACCTGCTTCCCCATTGGATTAATACTACCTAAGTGGCCATACTTGTACTCTTACTGGTTGATCACAGTTTTGACCCATGCTGTATCCAGCTGGTGATTTTGCTCTATAAAACTTCGAGAAGTGGGCTCGTTGGCACCCCACTTTCGGGTCCCCTTCTGTTTCTCAGAAGCTATCTCTCTGACTTCTTCCTACTCTTAACCTCCACTGTTCCTCAGAATTCATTCTTTGCCTATCTGGCAAAAACAAGGTCCTGAATTCAGTTCCCTGTATCAAAATAATAATAATAATAATAATAATAATAATAATAATAATAATAATAATAATAATTCATTCTTTGATTTGGGGGGAACACAAACTCGGTGTATCTGACATCTAGCAGGCTGGGAGTTAAATTATTTCTCCTATATCAATACCTCCTTCTGTGCCTATATCTGAGCCATCCATAAAAGTGCTGAGCAGATCAGGGCTAAGGACCCCACCAAGAACTCTCTCAGGGCTCACGCAGGTCCAGGCTTACACATTTTTAAAAGCAGTCACTTGGACTATTATCTAACACTTCTCCACCTTCTCCACAAAACCTTGTTGCACGCCTTTCAGAAACACAAGGGTATCAATCCAGTGTCCCCTGCATATAGATGGGGGAAAGGAAGACTGATGTCAACTACACAGACACAGAAAACGGGCAAAGAAAGAAATGGTAAAACAAACAAACAAACAAACCTACAAAATACCAAGGAGTATATGGCAGAATGGTAGAAAATTAAAAATAAAGATGAAAGAAAAGAAAAAGACCCACAAAAGGAAATTTTTGGCAGCCAAAAGCTCTCACCGAAACTGATGCTGAGAGAGAGGCCTACAGTCCCATGTGACCCCACTGTCCTTTTCCCAACCTCTGTCCCAATACAAGGCACCTAAAAATAAGGAAAAAGTCATACATTAAAAAGAGAAAGGGAGAATAGAACTGCAGAAAAAAACCAAAGTTATGTCCTACTGAGCACTGATAAAAAGCTAAATTAAGCCTGCACAAGCCATTTTTTAAATATGCAATTACTCTTCTTGATGGAGAAAGTTGAAAAATAGCAATGGTTTTTGGCTCCCTGCTTCCACCAACCCCAGGGCCCATTCTGCACGTGTATATTCCCCAAGGTAGAAAAGGGGAGCAATCCTGCTCCTCCAGTCCTCTGACCTGGTCAAATCCTCAGGGCTCTGCAGCAGATCTCCTCCCTCTTTCATTCCCATGGCCCTACCTTCCCATCCCAGCTTTGTACCCACCCCTGCTTGAACTATCTGCACCCCTCCTAATCAGCCTCTCTGCAGTCCAGTGCCCTCGTCCCGCCCAAGAACACTTCCTAAAACTCTCCATCACGCCTCTTCTTCAAAATCTCGGCGGAGTTCTCTACCCAGGCCTCAAATCCAGAGGTCTGACGGGTGGCTTAAATGAGTCTTAAGGGCCGTCACCTGATAAACGGATAAAACGAAATATTATTCTTCAAAAGCAAAAACAAAAATGATGCACTGACCCTGGCTACGGCCTGGGTGAACCGTGAAAGAAGGCAGGCACAGGGCGCTTTATAATACATGATTCCATTTATAAGAGCTGTTCAGAAGAGGCATGGGTATACAGACAGAAAATGGAGTAGCGGCTGTCAAGGGCCTGGGGTTGGGGGGGGCAGTAGCTAAAGGCGGTGTGTCTTTGGGGGGTAATAAAAATGTTTAAAATTGATTATGGTGCCAGACGCACAACGCGCACATTCTAAAAGCCAGTGAATGGATCAACGTTAAATGGGTGAATTGTACACGACAGAATTCACATCTTTTTTTAAAAATCCTGTTTTTTTTTTAAAGCAACAATAAAAAAGAATGACTCCTAAGAGCTAAAGAATGACCCCTAAGAGACAAACGAGTCATTGACCTGCCTGTAACGCAGAAGCATTCAATCAAAATGTTCCTGCCGCAGGAAACAAGGAGCACCCGCAGACAGACGGGGCTGGGGGAGAAGGGGTGTCCCTTTTCAATCCGTAAACTGAGGCTGTGCCAGGCAATCTGCATTTGAGTGGGGACCCGGGGACCTGGCTCCACTCCCCGTCCCCAAAGCCCCGCGGCCCAGATCGCCCAGGCCGCCCCCGGT